CATACATATAATAAAATGGTAGGAATGTCAAAATTGTACATTGATTTTTTTTTTAAAGATATATGATACTTGGGGTGTAATCTACAATCGATAACGAAGCCAAAAATATCTCTTATCTAATAGACAAGTCCGTCCGTCCGTCCGTGGTGCTGTTTCAGCGGCCAAACCGTAAGAGATATATAAAGAGAATGTTTAAGTTATAAGTTAAGAATAGTCTGATAAGACTACAAACCGGATTTGAGTAACGTAGCACTTCCGGTTTTCGAGAAATCACGTGATTTCTATTTCAAACGAAACCGCACAAAATCTCCGAAGTTCTCAATTAATTAAATACATTTTTTTTTTTGGTGAACATTTGGTTCACTGGTTTGCTAGTAGTTTTTATAATTTTTGTCTGTTTGTCTCTTGGTGTATGTGCGGGATAAACTCAAAAAGTACTGCATGGATTTACTTCAGGCACGAATATTATTAAGAAGTCGGGTCAACATATAAGCTACATAATATTACCACGCTATCACCTACGGGGAACGAGCAGTGAACAGGGGTCAAAAAGTATGTGCAAATTACTAACTCCACGCTTACGAAGTCGCGGGCGGCCGCTAGTATGTCATAAATATATAACTTTCAATCAACAGTTACCAGAATGTAAGTTTTAACATCTCTCAAGTACTGTAAATTGTTTGGTATTGTTTAAAATTCTGTGATAGTAGGACACACTACTAATTGTGTAAAGGAAGTTGGCTTACATTGTATCGCCGAAACATTCAGTATTTGTATACTACGGACGTGATATTATTTGCACGCGAGTTTCGCAGATGATGTAATTTTTGTTTGTTAAAGCTGATTCGATGATGGTGATTCCTGATTTATCGAGTAGTTTAATATAGACACACCAATAATGTTTAGGGTTCAAGTACGCGATGCACATAGAATGCGTAATTTACGCCGAGGCTGACTTAATTTTGTCTCTCAAAATTTACAAAATCTGCTTGCAAAATTTCTTTATTTAAGCAAAAATATAGCGCTAGTTAACGTGTTAATTTATACAGAGTCATTAAAAAAATCCACCTGTAGGACTAGATTCTGTAAATTTTAAATGGTACTTTTTTATTGCAATCAAATTATTTGATCAGTAGCAGCAGTTTTGATGGGTATAATTATATTTTAAGGTAATTATAGGTTTTTCTTGTTACGGAACAAAGAGTCGTATCTTTTTCCCCCCAACTTTGAGCACGACGCTTGACGTTTTGTGACAACATAATAATGATTAAATTGGCATTAAAACTTTGAAGTTTAAAAGTACCTAAACAATATTATAATTAATGGTCTTAAACTTCATATTATTCATTTCATTTAGTGTATTGAATCGCAAAAGACTGCACATATAATTTTGTAGTTTATTCGCTTGAATAGAAAATATAACAGCCGCTTGATTCCACAAATCAACAACCGTATTATTGCTGATGTCTGATATTCAACGGAAAGTTAACAGAACATAGAAAAGAATGATAAAAGAAAAGGCTCACTTGTAATGAGAATTGCATTGAACAACTCCGATTCGTAACTACGTTAGATTTAAAGATATACTCGTAGCAGATAAATGCTTAAAATACAAAAAATATTGTTTTAGGAACAACGTTCTTTTTTTTATTCCCTTTCTTTTCTTTATTTTTGACGACCTTCGTGGCCGTGTGGTTTGTACGCCGGGTTTCAAGGTGTCGCCTACTCGAGAGTTCAAATCCCGGTGGGGGGCAGATGTTTGTGTGATGAAAACGAGCATTTGTACTCCAGTCAAGGATGTTTAATATGTATTTCTATAAAAATATAGTTATACACATATATGTATCAGTATTTATATTCTTTCCGTTACCCTAGTAACCAATAATACAAGCTTACAGTGCTTACTTTGGGGCTAGGCTAATTGGTGTGAGTGTTGGAAATATTTATTATTATTTATTCCTTTTTGTGATAGTATACACAGCTTAACAATTATCTAAGAATACAATCTTCACAGACAAATTACTAATAATAATACCCAGCAATTTAAATTCTATTCTATAGCTCCATATAAACAAACATGTTAAAAAAGTTAAGTTTACAAAGTACCCAATCTTCCGCTGTACATATCATTCTAAGAAATTCCTATTTATTAATTATGTACTTTATTAACAAAGTATGATATATAAAAACTAAAGCATACCGTTGTACATTACAATTAATATTCAAAGAAATACTCTAGGTTGTACTTGCCTTTATAATTGATTCACTTGGAGCCACTCACGCCAACTTCTAAGTGCTAAATGAAATCAAAGCTTTTACATTTGTTCTACTAATTTTCAGATTTATGTTTAATAATAATACTTGAATAATGAATGAGGAGCTTGATGGCGCAGGTGGCTAGCGCGTTCGGCTGCGATCGTTGAAGTTAAGCAACTTTCGCAGTGGTCGGTCATTGGATGGCTGACCAAAAATTTACTATCTCGAGCTCCTTCGTGCTTCGGAAGGCACGTTAAGCCGTTGGTCCCGGCTGCATTTGGAGTCGTTAGCACCCACCAATCCGCACTGGGCCCGCGTGGTGGGTCATGGCCCAATCTCCCTATTCCATCCATAGGGAAGGCCTGTGCCCCAGCAGTGGGGATATTAATACGCTGATGATGATGATGAATAATACTTACTTTTCCTGTGCTATACTGACAGCTAGAAGAAAAACAATGAATATAATTAATCTAGCTTTAAAGCTATGGGTAGGTTTATCTTAAGCATGCTGCATTAAGTTTTTAATTGTGATCATAAAATCAGGCCATGTCAACAAGCATTTGTTCAGTAGTAGAAAGACCCGGGCCGCCCCCGTTATCCCAGCTACGGAAGGGCTTCCTTCAATCAATCAATCAATTATTTTATTTGCAAATACAGGTGATGCAAAGGTGTTAAATTATAATACGTTAGCAGCTTATTCCATTTTACACCACAAGGCATGCAAATAAAATAAGCAAATAGCTACATCCATTTACAAAGATTTGTCCTCTAAAAAATCCTTAATACGCCTTTTTAAGTAATACATTCTTTAATTTCGAACAAAATATATTGGAGCTTTTGGCTTTTCTAATTTCAAGTGGAATTTTATTATATACCTGAGGTGCCACACAATGTACACTATTATTCATAAGCCATGTCTTATTAGATGGTAAACAAAGTCTGGTTTCGAATCTTCTACTATTAAAAGTAACATATTGCTCTAACTAAAACAGCAATATCTTTTTCAATTTCTTTATTTTCCCTTTCTCATAAGCCAAAGTAACATCAACAAAATTTTGGTGAACACTTTGAATGTTTCACTTGCATCGTGGTTTCATAAGACCACACCATTTTTAAAGTGAAACTTTTTTTCGGGCGGGGTATAAATGGAAAAATCCTATGGAAAATATGAAACGGAAATGCGTCACGAGCGACACACGACTATCATTGACGAAGTCGAAGGCATCATTTTTTTTCTACACTATACCTCCGAAATTTATTGTCATGGAGATATTGAAGGTCAAAAATCACAACTTTTTTTCAAGATTTTTTACATTAATGTTTTCAAAACGTCATTCAGATTTTTTTTTATCGACGCACTTAGACACACGCGCACACTTACATACAGGCACATTATTTGCGTAGCGCCACCGAACCGCGCCGCGCTATACATTGCGTACTGGAAAAAAATGATTCCCACGTATTATATTTTGTAATATTACTTGCTTGGGTGTACAGAATGCGTAGTTTTAGTGTCGCGGCACACGGGCCACCGACCACAACCACAAAACGCCGCCACCGGCATATTTCTTGTAGTTTTCATACATTTTATATGGTGCGCCGGTGGCCGCCACACGCTACAAACCGTCGTTGCACGCTTCTTGTGGCCCGCACCGGCCACATAATGCTCCGATACAAAACGCCGCCACACTTCACTCGCGCGATTCCCCACTCTAGTCGGCCGCTGTCGCGTGCTTTAGCCACTTTAGTAGCCGCTTCTAGCTTCTCGTGGCGGCGTTTGTGGCTGTGGCGTATGGCCCGTGTGCGGCGATACTAAGTCTTTGTCATACGTTTTTTACACCTGTATGTATGTGTGTGTGTGTGTGCGTGTGCGCGCGTCGGATGCGTGCGCAGCTCTTCCCGACGGATATGAAAGTAGTACTAAAGTAGTACCGTAGGCTGAAACATCACAATATATAGGGCCTGGGTTCCGATACTGGGGGTAAGTACCCCTCCGGGGGTAAATCAGCCATACTTCGGGGGTAACAAAGAACCTAATTATTTGGTCAAATCTAAATAATAAGAAAATACTATTACTAAATAGAGCATGCGCTCCTTCTTGCTAGCGAGCCCGGGGGGTGCTGAGTGCGGGGCGAGATTTTCTCTTGATGATGACATTAATAGAGACGAAGATGTAGTGGCCAAATTGGAATTTCTTGGACTGATGATAACATTTTAAAGTCGGGGTAAAATCTGTTTTCCTAATAGGTTACAGGGGTAGCAGTATTGGAAAGGTTAGGAAACAGTGATATAGGGGCTGCGTGCGCTGCTCCATTCCCCGATGCCTCATGCAGCGCCTAATCTTTGGTTATTTTAGAAAAGAAGTTTCACTTCAGATGTGTGGTCCGTGCACACTATTATTTTATTCTAGAAACAATTTAGTATACTGTGGGTTTATTAAAAAACTACGTTTGCATCGACTGTACGTCGATGACGTTCACACATGCTTGTAGAGTGTACAATGTATAACAATAAGACAATGTCAGTATTGCAAAAAAAATTAAGTGTATGGGTGTTCGGTGTAGGGATATTCGCACAATTCAAAAGCTTTATATATATTTTGAAAAAATGAAACTGCTTAGTTTTATAATAATTTTGTTATTTATAAAGTTAGGATATGATGGGGCTAGCATATCTTTTATTTTGAGTAAAACCAAATAAAAAATTAGGCGGTCGCTAGTAACGATATAAACCTTTTGTTCCAGCAAGTGACGTACTTCGTGATCCGCATGGCGCTGCTGGTGTCGTGGTTCTGGGCGGCGGTGCTGACCTGCGCGCCCATATTTGGACTGGGGCTCTACTACGACGAGGCGAAGGGTCAATGCACTCGGTACAGGAACGCTGTCACCTCTGTCGACTTCGCTTACGGAGTGTTTTATGTGGTCTTCGGTAAGTATAAGAGCAAGCGCACATTGAACCAATAATCGCGGCCACTAAACGTCGCTTGTAGCTTAGTGGCGGCCACTCAAACGCTTAGTTTGTGCCGATACTATGCGTCCTTTTTTTTGAAGTGAAAACTTCTTTAGCGGCGTTATACACTTTTTTGTATGGGTACAAAATGTTAAACTCGCGTCAGGTTAAACACGTGCGCTGATCGCATCATGACACACAATAAAATTGGAAATGTTGTTGACTTTCAATATATTGGACGAAACATAATAATATTTTATTTTACCGTATTATAATAATAAGTCTCTATTTAGGACGTCCACTTGGCAGCTTTATTGCGAAGAAAATGCATTGTTTTTACAATAGATGTCGCAAGGTGCGCTTAAATGTGATTCATGTAAGTTGATTTCTTTACAATAGATGTCGCTTAGTGCGCTTAAACGTGATTCATGTAAGTTGATTTTACTGAGGGATAAACTTTTTTAATGTAATATAAATTGCCAAGTTTGTCTACGATTGCGCAATAAATAAATATTGTATTCTACCACATACATGATAGTATTTTATACTGATAATTAAAGCAATTCGTGCAAAATTATTTCTTAACCATTCCAAAATATCAAAAATGCACAACGTTAATATTCAAGTTTTCACTTCTGCCGGCACTCCCGGGAAATGCCTTTCGGATCCTTCAACCACCAGGGGAGCGAGAGGAAGGTATGTGGGACTCCTCCCTGCTCATTTCAGCCAGCCCTTAAGCCGGGTGATATGAGCAGGGCCCTACCTAACGCCCTGAATAGGGTCACAAAAAACCAGACAATACTCCTGCACCGGTCACCCGGCGTACATTCTGAGCACCGCAGTTCCCCCAATGCACGCCGGGAGTGCGGGTGTGGTCGCGGAACAGTTGCCGCGATGAATTTTTTTTTGTTTCCTCCCAGGCGGGGAGCAGGTGAGAAATCCTCATGGATACCCTACAGCTGGCTGCAAGGTTTTGTCAGACTCGTACTGACTAAAAAACACCCGTAGGGGCTGCCTCTGGCCGGGAAGGCCTCTAAGGCTTCATAATAATAATAATAATTTATTTGCCAAAATATGGTTACAATAGTTGTTACATATTTCTTTAGTTACCAGCATATTTTATTGAATGTCAACGTGCAAATATTTTAGGAAATTTACATTAATAAGGTCCAGTGACGTCTAAATAAATAAAATTAATTTAAAGATAATAATAATATTCAATGTCACAAAAAATACTACTACTAATCTATTCATTATTAAAATAGTCAAGAAAAGTTGCATCAATATTGAATTAAAATGTCACAAAATTACATATATTTATCATCTACATATTTTAAACTATTATATTGAATACACGAATGTCAAACATACATTAATATTAGGCTATTTTATCATTTAAAAATCGTTAATTGAATAGTACATTTTGTTAATTAAAAAAGTAAATAATTCAGTCCTAAATTTGGTTAAAGTCATTTTTTTTATATTTGAAGGTAACTTATTAAATATACGAATGGACATACAATATGCATTTTTAGAAAATACCATTACAGTTTGGATTGGAACACATAAATCGTCCCCTTTTCTACCTCTATATTCAACATCTTTTTTTTCTGATATAAGTGAAAATACTTTTTAACAAACCCTGCCAATTCAAAAATATATAAACATGGAACTGGCAGTATTCCAAGCAATTTGAATAAGGGCTTACACGAGTCCAAATAACCTGCACCACAAAGTGACCGTATACATTTTTTTTGAATTTTAAAGATTTTAATTGCATCTACTGAATTTCCCCACAATATTATACCATAACGCAACACAGATGAAACATAACCATGGTAGGCTATGAGTGCCTACCATGAATTCATCGGAAGCGATCGTCCCCCGCTTTAGTTAGATACTAGATACTAGAGCATATGCACGAGAAGGATGATACGGCCTCCTAGTGAGGCACGCCCGTATCGGACAGAAGAGCTGCAGAGGGCCGCTCGTGCGTAGGGAGGGCAGGCAATTCCGGAAGGGCCTTGCTGTAAGGGGCCTAACAGGGTGCGATCGCCGTTTATGCTAACTAACGGGGAAGCTTGTTTGAGAGCTAACGCGTGTGTGGATGCTGGCCCGCGCCGATCGACGCTAAGTTTGATCGACGTGTTAGAGACTCGTGAAGCCTGCGCTCTCGTCCACAGCTTACATGCGCGTTTAGTGCGCTTGATGTCTCATACACAAAAAAGGCCAAGCCTGCTTTATTTATTCCCTGTGAGATCGGCATAGCAGCACCACTTTTTCTTTGCTTTTTTATGTTAAAAGGGTGGCAAACAAGCGTATGGCCCGGCCGATGGTAAGCAGTCACCATAGCTTGTAAACACTTGCGATACCAAAGATATCACTCGCACCTTTGCCTACCTTGACCCGATCTACTACCCCGTGAAGCCGTGGAACCTTAATTATTGACAGAAACACAACACCACCAAAAGGTAGTGTTATTTTACTGTTATCTTATGTAACGTGAGGTTTCTTCCCCATAGAAGGGCGCTCCAATTCGAGCGGAAAATCCGCTATGCCCTACGGAATCTCTCTTATGGAAGGCCTGCTGAATGACCTAATTAACTAATAGCGAATTTATTATATAAGCGAGTAAGATATTGTACTAGTGGGTTTCCGTGTTTTTTTTTTGAGTAGACCAAAAAAGTAACATAGACCAATCACCAACCAAATCAACCAATTTATTATATAAGGGAGTAAATTGAACTAGTGTAATAGAAGTCACCAATAAAACAGACCAATTTTCCAAACAAACTATTATCATTATACTTCCTTCTAGTTTTTTTCTGATATAAGAAGTATCTACCTAAGCTCCTCCAAAATCTCATTTATCCAAATCCCAACACCAAAATTCATCCAAGTCATTGCGAGAAATCGTGAGTCTTTAACGTAAACTTAAAAGTAAAAAAGTGTATTTGAAGTCCTAACTCATATAGAAACAACTACTCCAGTAGTCATTAAACAATAACCGACGCGACGCCATCTTTGGTATTAAATTGGTTAAAGGTCGTCCATAAACAATAGTGACAAGGTTGTCGACCCATAGCTTTTAGTTTCCGACACCGCACTGTCCATTGATAAAGTTTAACAATTTACCCAACAAAGTTCGAAGTTAATAGTTGGAAGTTTATGTAACACAAATTCGCATTATTCTTATGATAGTACCCACCCCGTCCAACCAGAATATGGGGTGAGTAAATTGAAGGTTTCCCTCGTAAACACGATGGAGAAAACTTATATTGGTTGGACCTGGGCCTAATTCTGTGAATTATATCCGTTTCATTGTGCATAAATACAATTTATACACGATCCCAATTCTGACCCGAATAAATAAAATGAACGTTATAATAAAATTAATACATAAAGAAAAAAAACGTAGTGTTATTTTACTGTGATCTTTAGTAAGGTGTAGGTAACTTCCCCAGACGGGCGCTGCTCCAATTCAAGCGGAAATCCGCTTTTCCCCTTTTATATAGATAAGAAATTCAAAGGTCAGCAAGCTAACGATTTTTACAAAACTGATGCTTTCAAAATACATTAAATTTCAAATACAGAAACAAAATGAAAAACTTGCGTCGTTATATAATAAGGCTTTTGATTCTTCGCCTTGCATTTTTCATAATAATCTTATATACCGATCCCAAAGTTGATCCGGATAAAAAAGGTACGCAATATGCATAATCTTGTGATTCATAAACAGCCCAATTCAGCGTGGATGACACAAAAATGTATCATCGATCACTTTTTGAAGAAAAAAGCGGGGTCCCTACATTTACATATTTCCTTTGCTTCTACAAGAAAAGGAAACAATTACACACTTTCTTTAAGATGCCGTGTGTAGGAATTTAGGCATTTGAGGGGGAGAAACAGGGAAAGTGATTGACGGGTACTACCGTTGACGTTCACAGCTTTCAGGTTGTTTTATACTGAAGCAGACCGGTAAAATATAGTCGTATTATATACATACGATACAAATAAATAAAAAAAACATTAATAAAAGAAAAATTGGTTTATTTGTCATGTCAACACAAAAACTATTAACTAAAAAATATTTTTTAATTATTAATATAATTATAATTTTCTTTGGAGCTGTCTTTAATTTATTAAAAAACTATTTAACAAAGCAAGTTTCGTGTGTATAGTCATATTAGTTTTTAAGATATTTGATTCTTAATTAAAAAATCGTCCATTTTTTAAAGACAAATTCTATCAAGAATTTTTTTTTTTTTTCCAACACACACCAATTAGCCTAGCCCCAAAGTAAGCACTGTAAGGCTTGTATTATGGGATACTAGGGTAACGGATAGAATATATATACAGTACAGATATAAGTATATTTAAATAGAAATACATATTAAACATCCATGACTGGAGTACAAATGCTCGTATTCATCACACAAAATATCTGTCCCCACCGGGATTCGAACCCGGGACCTCTCGAGTCGGCGACACCGTGAAACCCGGCGTACAAACCACTCGACCACGGAGGTCGTCGTAATCGTCGTCTTTTGATAATCATGTTTACGGGCTAGTAAAAATTTTGCTTAGGAACTGAAGATATACATATATAACAGTACAGCATCTAAATAGGTATTCTATTAACAGCTTCAAAAATAATGGCTTGACTACCTACAGCTAAACGTTGAGAAAAGAAAACTATTACGCAGCACCATTGACTTTTAAAACCATATGTAGCATATCTGTCTTACGGTCAATGAATTCGCCCGAATAGCGAAGGACCCTAGTTTGATTCTAGTTTGGTACCGAGGCTTAATTGAACATTTGCTAATAAAAAAAATCTTTAGATTATAACAGTCATTTTAATGCTTCATAATAATTAACACTGATTAAAGTTAAGACCGATCTGAAAATGATAGCTTTTTTTTTCAAAAGAGACAAAGAAAGCATTAGTTTAACTTATTTACGATTAATCATATAAAAATTACGCAGAACATTAATTACCTACCTCCTGGAAACTACGTTTTTTGTAAATATTTAAGATTTTAATACAGGCAACAGTAAACTAAGAAACATACTGGCCACTTCAATTGCCGTCTTTCTTTTTACTGTTCGTTTATAAGAAATAGCAATTAAGGAGTATGGCTATTTGCATTTTACAAGGTCTGAAAAGTAAGAATAATTAACTCCCGTTTAACTTTTTACGAGCAATAATCTACGTTCTTCTTTCTACAAATAATCTGAAATTATCCCCATAGCACGATACAAGAAAATCGGTTTAAAGCTTTGGAACAATGAACAGAATTAATTATACAATTTCATTGAAATGAAATGAAATGAAATATTTGAAATGAAATATTTATTAAAACCATAACAAAGATACAATAACAATAGTGATCGATATAACTGCATTAGCTATAAAACTGTGTCGCAGTTATTAACGCCCACCTCCAGAAAAAAAATGTTGAATTTTCATTATAATCACAGCTTATTAATGTCCTCTCTGCTGGGCCTTTTCAGGTCTGCATCGCAGTTATTCTGACGATGCAAATGTCGCTATTGTTGTTGTTTAAACCGGAACAGAATGAAGATAAACGTGGCAAACGCTTATGTTTTTACAATACGTTATTGTATAGGAATCGTCCAATGATATTCATCGTTATTAACTTGGATAGTAAAGTTTTATTTATATTATTATTATGTCCATATATACAGGGTCAATTGTATAGGGCAACGTGTAACATAATGTGTGTTTTTTTTATAGATAGATCCAACAAATGACTCCACCCCACCTGATGTTAAGTGAATGTGAAGTCCAGACGCGAAGATAGCTGGTACAGCAGTTCTTTCTGCCACTCCAACCATCCTCACCTGTCGGCCTGCATGTTGCTTCTTCACGCCTTCCTCTCCTCCTCTTCATGTTTCTGTATGTTCGGCAGTAATTACTTCGGGTCGGCTTTGCTATTCGACAAATACTACCGAACTGACTATGCCGGCCCGATTATGAGTATAGCTACCCTTACTGTAGTATTCTGTAAGGTAGAGGTTACTTTTCAGGTAGGCGCTCCTATTCGAGCAAAAAACCCGCTATTGCCTACCCTTCCCTACTTGCGTTAAATGAACCAATGTGCGTGAAATCATAAGAAATAATAAATAAATAAATATTTCCAATACTCTCACCAATTAGCCTAGCCCCAAAGTAAGCACAGTAAGGCTTGTGTTATGGGATGCTAGGGTAACGGATAGAATACATATACTGTACATATATAAGTATATTTATATAGAAATACATATTAAATATCCATGTCTGGAGTACAAATGCTCGTATTCATCACACAAACATCTGCCCCCACCGGGATTCGAACCCGGGACCTCTCGAGACGTGTCGCCGTCGCCGCCATGAAACCCGGCGTACAAACCACTCGATCACGGAGGTCGTCAAATCTAATATATAAAATTCTCGTGTCGCGGTGTTTGTGGTTAAACTCCTCCGAAACGGCTTTCCCGATTCTCATGAAATTTTGTGTGCATATTGGGTAGGTCTGAGAATCGGACAACATCTATTTTTCATCCCCCTAAATGTTAAGGGTAATCTACACCTAAATGTTTTTTTTGCAATTTTAGATAAATTTTTTTATGATACATCATACAAAAATACATACAACCCTAAATTTTCACTCTTCTACTACCAACCCCTATTTTTTTATGGCGGTACGAAGTTCGCTGGGTCAGCTAGTATTATATATAACAATATATTATATAATAATAAATAAACCATGATTATATATAAATACGTTTGCTTGACAGGAACGTTGTTATGCGTGATCCTAGTGTACTGCAACTTGGCTGTGATCCAAGCTCTGTACTCTATCACTGCGCCGAGGCCGGGAGGGCAGCCGGTGGTGCGCCGCGTCTCCAGGAGTTCCTGTCGCCAGAGGAGCATGAACACTGGAAGCAAACCCAGCCTGAACCATAACCCGGCGACTGCTGAAGAAGTCGCGTTCAGTAGACTGATGGCTACGCTCTCTGTGCTGTTTATGATATGCTGGCTCCCGCAAATGGTAAGTTTATAATTATAATCCTATTAATGTCCCCATTGTTGGGGTACAAGCCTTCCCTATGGATGGAATAGGGAGATTGGGCCATGACCCACCACTCGGGCTGGGACGCTAACGTCTGCAGATGCAGCCGGGATCAACGGCTTAACGTGCCTTCCAAAGCACGGAGGTGCTCGAAATAGTAAATTTGTGCCCACTCATCCAAAAACCGCTGCGAAAGTTGCTTAACTTCAACGATCGCAGCCGACCGCGCTCTGTAAATTTATAATAACTAGCAAACCAGTGAACCAAATGTTCACCAAAAAAAAAATGTATTTAATTAATTGAGAACTTCGGAGATTTTGTGTGGTTTCGTTTGAAATAGAAATCATGTGATTTCTCGAAAACCGGAAATGCTACGTTACTCACATCCGGTTTGTAGTCTTATCAGACTATTCTTAGCTTATAACTTAAACATTCTCTATATCTATCTCTTACGGTTTGGCCGCTGAAACAGCACCACGGACGGACGGACGGACTTGTCTAATAGATAAGAGATTATTTAATCTACCCCCTCCCCTTACCCCAAATCCATCATGAATGTCATCACAATCAAATGCAAAGTGCATTTGATTGTGATGACCGATGGGACTTATTAATTACAACTTAGCTTCCGTGAACTCATCTGCGTTTTTTGAAAAGTATACTCTGTCTCAATCCAGGTCATAAACTATATCCCCCTTATTAATAAATGAGGAATAAGCTTAGACTAGTTACGCCATGTTATGTTCATATCACTCAAAGGCCATTTGTCATTCTATAAACAAAGACAAAACATGGATTAACTAATCCAACCTTATTCTTAGTTTATTTGTTTCTTAGGTTTTCACGCACATCACTCATTAAATAAAACTAGTTTTTACGGGTTAATGCACGAAAACTTTATTTATTTATTGACGTTTCGTAGTCTTTACGGGCTACGTCGTCAGAATAAAACTTTTATTTAATTTGTCGAGCTACCTTCGAAAGACTTTTATTGAGCGTTTGGTTATTTCATTGTTCGATTTTTAAGTTTTATTGTCTATGTATGAATTTATTATTTAATTTACTTAATAAAGTATTTTATTTAAAATTCTTGTTTGTAATTTTGAGTTTATTTATTTGACCCTAACTACCGTAAACTACCACCGGTTCCAAAATTTTGAGACCTTCCTGAGAAGAACCGGCGAAACAAACTCAAGAGAGGCTTTCTATCTCCTTCTTATGTTAAATTATGCAAACAAAAAGAACTAATAGTATCTGATGGTCTTGCAGTGTGTGCTCGGGGTTGGGATTTTATCTCCTGTATAATAGGTTCCCAAGCTGGTGGTATATACCAACCATCTTCCCTATTGAAATTTGGATATTTTTTAATCTCAATAGCCTCGCGCATCATTCGAGGAACGAACCGCCGCCCGCTCAGCTGCAAGGATCTGTGGTCTATCAAATCTAATGTAGTGGTTTGGTCCCCCTATTCTATGTCTCTATGTATGAATTTATTATTTAATCTACTTAGATTAAATAATAAATTTATACGTAGACAATAAAACTTAAAAATCGAACAATGAAATAACCAAACGCTCAATAAAAGTCTTTCGAAGGTAGCTCGACAAATTAAATAAAAGTTTTATTCTGACGACGTAGCCTGTAAAGACTACGAAACGTCAATAAATAAATAAAGTTGTCGTGCATTAACCCGTAAAAACTAGTTTTATTTATGATTCTTAGTTTATTAATAAGGGTGGAGGGGGGGGCGGGGCATGTGTACTTATTTTCATTCAAATTCGTTGAGCCGTTTTTTGTGATTAAGTACCTTATAAACTCTCACATTTATAATATTTGATTTAAATTTTGACGACCTCCGTCCCGGGTTCGAATCCCGGTGGTGGCAGATATTTGTGTGATGAATACGAGCATTTGTACTCCAGTCATGGATTTTTAATATGTATTTCTATATAATATACTTATATATGTATAGTATATGTATTCTATCCATTACCCTAGTATCCCATAACACAAGCCTTATAGTGCTTACTTTGGGACTAGGCTAATTGGTGTGAGTGTTGGAAATATTTATTTGTTTATTAGTAGGACGGAAGGATTAAATGTTAAAATGTTGGTAAAAAGTATTTGAAAGAAGTGGACATAAACCCAAGGGACATACTTTAAACAGTCGTAAATAAAATGATAAGATTACAAACTTCTGGCCGCGATTTTGTCCCCAGGACTTTAGTTCCGCGCAAATTTTTACCTTTTTGTTCCTTCTACAAACTATTACAAAACTATAAAAAAAAGAAGAATGAAAGTGGTAAAGTGGTTTTCAAGTTATAGCGTGGTCAAGGGAAATAGGGATCTATTTTTAAATATCAAAAGAAAACTCGTTTAATCTTTACTAATATACTAATACTAATTACTAATAATATTACAAAAAGGAAAGGTTTGTATGTAAGTATGTTTGTAACGAATTGGCTCAAAAAGTACTGGACCGATTTTAAAAATTCTTTCTCCATTTGAATGCTACGTCATCGCTGATTAATATCAAAAAAGTTAGGGTTCCGTATGAAAACTTCGATAATGTAACCCAACGTGTGTAAAAATACCAAAAATAGCCTTATATCGCGTACGCTGCGGAAGTCATTGACAATAGAGCAAAGTGATGTAGTTTTATAGAGGATACTAATATCTACAAAAAATCCGCGATACCATACGTCTAACAATTACAGTTATGTCACAACTAGAGGTCCCCTGCGGTTTCACCAGCGTTAATTTAAGGAAAATGAAGAATTCTGTCATACATGATTTTTGTGTATCTTTAACCGTTTACCCAACGCACGCAACTGCATCTCACAAATGGAATATTTTTACCCGTTTTTGCAACATTTTTCATCGATGCTCCGCTGCTACTGGTCGTAGCCTAGTAATATATGTATAGCCTATATATAGCCTTCCTCGATAAATACACTGTCCAATACAAAAAGATTTTTTTCAAATCGGAACAGCAGAGCAATGTTGCATTCGCTACAACAGGTCCTAAACTACGCAACGAATTTTTTACTTGGAATTGCTTTATAAATAAGTATTATGAAGAAAGTCATTGTGTATAATACAAGCCTTTAAACAAAAACTATAGTCTACACTACAGCTCTACACCGAAGCAAAGCGAGGGCGGGCCACTAGTGTATAAATATTTCAATTTTCAAGATTCCCTTTCGGTCCTGTGAATGAAAAGTAATTAGCGTTTAACTCAACGATGCCTCATCACGTGGTGCTTCTAACAATTATTAAACTGGATGTTGGAAATGACAAATTTATCACAGTCCTATTTACAGAGTATCTCGACTCACTCTGTTTTATTACAACTCCATGATAAAGTAGGATGATATGATAAATAGAATTTTAGCGGAAATCCAACGGATTTTCCCAAAACGCGGATTATTAGACAATAGCTACAACAATACTCAATCTTACTGAAAAAGTTGGGTTTCTGTGAAAACGTGAGTCCCCTCGGGAGTTTACAGAAGACATTATCACACAAAGGACAAAAATAGTGACAACCCTTAACACAATTTTTTAAATTCATTTTCTCGAAACCTAAGCCGAAGTTGAAAGTATTATTTGTGTGGGCAATTAACCGTATCATAATAAGGAATAACCATAATAAACATCATTATAACCTTATAAGGAATCTATTTGTACTTGACTAGACAGAGATTCTACTTCGAGCTAGAAAAGATATAAAAAAAAAATAGTGATTTCGATAAAAACTCTTGTTTTTTTTGGGTATTCTATTATCATTTTTGTTTAAACAAAAACGATATTATGCGCTTAGAATTGCTTCATAAAACACAATCATGTATAAGTTTTCTTTGTAGGAACTTTTTTCAGTGATTTGAAATTCGAGGTCACGTAATATTAAAGTTTTTTTTTTTTAAATACGGAATTAACTCCTGGTTGTTCTACTCATGCATTTGCAATAACCTATTGAGCCTAAATGTTCGATAAAAAGCGGTGCCACATTTATGAGGCAAAAAACACTGTGCAGCGGTCACCGAAGAGTCAGAAAAATATCGTTAACAGTAAGATTGAGCAATGACGTCGCTTTTGTCTAACTATTATCCGTGTTATCCCAAAATCCCTAGGAATTTCGCAAAAAAAACCATTTTTCAAATCATAATCCTACGACATACTCATCTCATCATCTTTATTTAAAATAGATTGATTGCATATTATGTAACTGTTGTTTAAGACCAGTTGTAACGGATCGAGATGAATAGCTATTGGACAACATGCGATAACCCCAAAGTAGTTGAAGCACTTATGGAAATCAGAAAGGACAAATGACAGCATCACGTGCAGTTACCACAAATTGTTAAGTTTTCTCAATCAAGTGTGCATCTTATATTAAATAACGTAAAGCTCAAATTTACTTGCAGAATTTTTCAGTCATTGTGCGTTTATCTATACCCCAACTCGAAACTAAAAGGGGACACCGGAACTTTATCAATAGGCAATTATTTCGCCGTCAGTTCATCCTTCAGTCAGGGCCTCGGGTCTCTATTTCAGGAAGTAACTGTAATAGGATACTGCCACTTTAACTACTATCATTAAACATTTAATATAAAGCGGCTAAGCGGGAGTCGCATATTAAGGGTGCCGTACCAGCAGGGTTTAAAATTAAAGACAAAACTATTAATAAAGTCGAGTAAAAACTCCCAAAAATACATTGTTCTAGTAGGCCACGGCAATCGAGTAAATGAACCATAGAGCCTGCTCGCATTGCGATATTTCAACGCGCGTTTTTATTCTTGTAATTCTGTTACATATTCAATCGCAATAAGCGAGTAGCCGCACTGGCTATAAAAAATTCGCGCGACATAAAATCTGGGCTTTGATGCAAATTGACCGCGATGCGGTCGTGTGCGGACGTGCAGCCCGGAATTTCAATACTACCCATCTTTATGAAAACGCATTTGCAGGCTACTACT